TCTCTGTCTATGGATTCATCAGGTCATTATTGGGTTTAACAACATTCAATGTAACAATATTAAATCTATTTTCTGAAAGTTAAAAGGCTTCCAGAATATATTTAACTTGATCTCAAATGATGTATCAGGTCATATTGTATATGAAAGCAAAGTTTGCAAAAATGAGATACCAGTGAAATCATATGAAATTCACTGTCATTCATTGTTATGAAGGGTCTCATTCCATTATACAGTCATCTTTACAGCCAAAACACAGTCAGTGTTAACCTTCACTTGAGAAACAGGACAAAATAATTGCAGCCAGTCATACATTTCAAGACTAAAAAAAAGAACATTGTTCAAACTACTGTGCATCAAGGCAGCACAGCAATTAACATGACAATAAAATCAATTATTACTCAAAAAAACAAGACAACTTGATTACTGGGCACATAGGCTACACCTCCATAAACAATGAAGGTGGCCATTTTGAATTGATGACCGGGTCAAGAATGTATAAATGCACCCACAACAATGACAAAACATAGTCAAATAAAAGCTGCCTGCCCAACCAGGTGAATCTAAATATACCCAAATACATACCTCACTAGCAATACCTTATAATGACTAAAGTTTAGAGTAACTGCCTGGTGATTTGCAATTCAGATGACAATTTGTTTGGTAAAAAAACTAAAGAACAATATAAACAGATATAATATAGAATACAAACAGTTTAACTGCATACTGCCCTCTGTGGATTCTATTCATTTATATTGTCCTTTTGTTTTTAACTGAACAACTTCTCATCTGAATTATAAATTAGTTACCCTGCAAAAAGTTTATTTGACCTTAGTCACCTGTCAATATGTGATGAATTTAACCCACATTGGTGATACATCTTATAAGAACAAAATTGGCCTACTATATAGTACAACTCCCGATATAAATATCCCTGCCATTTCATTTCATATGAATGTGTCAGATAATTGTGACTGTCAAAATTTGCATAATTGATTAATATGTGCATAATTAATTATTATGTGTAAATATAAAATTATATATGTTGTCTGAAACTATTCAGTTTTCAAGTTAGTAAGTGACCAACTGTTGGCCCTTAACTACAAAGAATACTATATAATCTTTTGGCGCCATTACAGACGCCTTTTGTATGTTTAAATGTCTTATTTTAGTATGTTTTCCTTTTTATGTGTACTTTATGGGCTGTGTACTTGAAATAAAGAAATAATAATAATAAGCCAAATAATAAATGCATCCAATATATTTCAGGTGTTATTTAAAACTAGGGGAGTGGCAGCAAAGTTTAGAAGGTATCCATGACAACACAATACCACAGATATTACAGTACTATGCGTCAGCAACTGAGTATGATCGTAATTGGTATAAGGTAGGAATTGTTATTGATTCACAGATTTGCTACCCTGACTACCCCTACCTTCACTACCCTACTATTCCACCACTGCCCCCTATGTTTTACTTTAAACTCTTGGTATATTTAAGTTTAAGTTTCCAGGAAAGATTTCAATTACAATTACTACTGCACTTACCCAAGAATTACAGTTACACAACACTACACTCACTACCCCACCACCATTACCCCTCTAACATCACCACACAAAATCATTTTTACCATGTGAAATCATTTTTACCATGTGAAATCATTGTCACCATATGAAATCATTGTCACCAAGTGAAATCATTGTCACTAAGTGAAATCATTGTCATGTATATGAAATCATTGTCACCATGTGAAATCATTGTCATCATATGAAATCATTGTCACGAAGTGAAATCATTGTCATGTATATGAAATCATTGTCACTATGTGAAATCATTGTCACCAAGTGAAATCATTGTCACCAAGTGAAATCTTTGTCACCAAGTGAAATCATTGTCACCAAGTGAAATCATTGTCACCAAGTGAAATCTTTGTCACCATGTGAAATTATTGTCACCATGTGAAATTATTGTCATATGCAATCATTGTCACCAAGTGAAATCATTGACACCATGTGAAATCATTGTCACCAAGTGAAATCATTGTCACCATGTAAAATCATTGTCACCATGTAAAATCATTGTCACAATGTGAAATCATTGTCACCAAGGGAAATCATTGTCACCATGGGAAATCATTATCACCATGGGAAATCATTATCACCATATGATATACATAATTATTGTATTGTGTTTGTTTTTCTAGGCATGGCATGCCTGGGCTTTAATGAATTATGAAGCTGTGCTCTATCACAAACAACAAACTAGTTCTAGTGGACAGTCTGGTAATAATCACAGTGGTGTGGATCTTGGCCAATCACAGGCTGTCTCTGGTGGACAGGCAGGTAACAACCCCGGTAGTGTAGACGCAAGCAGTGTAAGTAGCAGTAGTAGTGTAGATATATCTACTCATGAAGATGGACAACTTAAACCAGTAAGTTGTATTTCAGTGTCATTGAATTTGGGTCAACTTTATGGTCTAGTGTACTTCTCAATAACTGACATTTTTAGTTTTGTATGTATTGTACTTTATTACTAACATTTTATTGCTTTCAACCAATGAAAATTATTTCTAAGGATGCAATAAATTCATTATTATTATTATTATTATTCTCTCCCAATAAGTGATGTGTGAACCAATGAAAATTATTTCTAAGGATGCAATAAATTCATTATTATTATTATTATTATTCTCTCCCAATAAGTGATGTGTGAACCATTCAGACTTTTCTGTGTCCTTTGACTTATTAAAAGTTTGTATTCTGAAAACACCGGTATTATGGCAAAACATTGGTGTTAAAATGAAATAATCAAATTGTCCCTGTACATATCAAAATTGTGCCATCGAGGTGATTTAATATTATTCTATCAATTTATAATCAATATATTTGATAGTGGTGACTGTATAACTATCAACTTTGAATTATCTGAACCATTTCAGAATGTACATACTTACACAGTGCCTGCTGTACAAGGTTTTTTCCGATCCATTGCTCTATCCACTGGTGGTAACTCTTTACAAGACACACTACGTCTGCTTACTCTCTGGTTTGATCATGGACAGTGGCCAGACCTTTATGATGCTTTAGTGGAAGGCATTAAAACAATAGAAATTGACACATGGCTCCAGGTTAGTTTGTGTGTTTGTTGTGTTCTCCATCCAGTGCTGATAGTGATTATGTTTAATCTGCTAGTCTGTGAGAGAATGTTTTCCCTAATGATATTGTCCAATAATTTTCATTATTTATTTTAATATTTTATGTTTTAGGTGATACCACAGTTGATTGCCAGAATAGACACACCAAGACAGCTAGTAGGAAAACTTATACACCAGTTACTTACAGACATTGGGAAGCAGCATCCACAGGTTTGTACATCATTGTTGTCATGATTTGGGTCAAGCAATCCGAGTTCCTACTTTCTGCGTCAACATTGGTAAACACCATCAACATGTAAAAAAGGTAACCAACATGTGAACACGGGTAAACACCAACAATATATAAACTCGAGTAAACACCACTGACATGTAAACACAAGTAAACATCACCAACATGTAAGCATGAGTAATCAACATCAACATGTAAACACCATTATTTAAAATTTACGACATTTCCTCATTCATTTCTTGCAGGCTTTGATTTATCCCCTGACAGTGGCATCCAAGTCCGCAAGTTCAGCACGACATAATGCTGCTAATAGAATTCTGAAAAACATGTGTGAACATAGTTCTAACCTAGTACAACAGGCCATGATGGTATGAGTGTTTTTATCACACATGAAACATTAGTATTCATAGTCTCTCATTGTTTTATGGTAAAGAATTATGTGAAAAATATTCTTACTGTTTACTGTTTATTTGTTATTAGTGTCCACTAATGTCCACTAATAAACAACTGTATTTATTTTGTGTACTTTATTTTCTACCTGGGGATCTACGGTGGATTGAGAATGAGTTATTAAACAGAAACGAAACAGTTTTATGAAGTAGAAAAATTGAATAATGTAGACTGGAAGTTTATTTTGAAAAGATATCGATGGAAGGTTAATGTTTCTGCCGATTATTGATAGCAATCCCAAGCCATACCTGTGTTTGAGCATCAGCTGATGTTTAGAAGTCATGCCTTATTAGAAGAATATAGCATATTAGAAATTGGAATAGTTTTGTAAAATTATGATTTTCTTTTTGGCACTTGGTTTGTCATGTGATAAAAAGGTTATGGTATTATTTATTCATAAAGCTAGTTGATACTAGAGTTATTATACTGTAAAGCGGTTAATTATTCACTGGGTTTTAATTTTGCTTATTTCGCTGACAGGAAAATGCGCTAAATTAAAACCCAGTGAATATGTAAAATTTAGCATAGTACACATTATCTAAATGATAAAACCGTGAATTTAAAACCCACTGAATATGCCTGAAATGGTAAATCAGCAAAATTTAAACCCAGTGAAAATTAGTCATTTTACAGTAGTTTAAATTATCTACTGACCTTCAGTTTGTTGATAATACTTAGCCATGAAGTTTCTCCAGCTAATAATACAATGTGATAATATTTATTGTAAATTATAGGTAAGTGAGGAGTTAATTCGTGTGGCGATATTATGGCATGAACTGTGGCATGAAGGCTTAGAAGAAGCATCTAGACTCTATTTTGGTGAGAGGAATATCAAAGGTATGTTTGCTGTCCTAGAACCGTTACATGGTATGATGGAGAGGGGACCACAAACATTAAAAGAAACTTCATTCAATCAGGTAAGATGTTTATATGTTTACTCCTGTCATCAACAAACAAACAAACATTGGAGTTGTTTTCATCCCAATTTGTCTAAGCTGTGTTTTTTTACTTTTTTGATGTGAGCAGGTTCTTTTAGGTGCAATATTTTAGGTGTATACTGAGGAGGGAGATTGGGGGGGGGCATCCATATTATGGTGGCAACCCAAGAATATTGTGTATTTCCAGTCTTAATGGAAAAAACTTCACATCAAATATTGATTTAGTGATATATTACATCTTTCCTCGTCAAACAGAGAATCCTGTGTGCGAGTTTCGGTGACTTAATGACACCCTAAGCTGCTGAAAACTCAATCACAACCAAAGCTACTTAACTGCTCTGTAATGTTTTGTTTTTTGTCAAGGTCAATCTTGTGAATACCTTATACACGTATTACTCAACACGTCAAATGCTTCAAAATAAATTTTCCAACAATACAACTTTTGTTTCTGGTCATCTGTTCAAACTTTTTTTTTTGATTTTCTCCGAAATATTGTAAAAATAAAAGCAAATAATGATTTTTGAAGGATTTGAATAAAATAAGAGAAACAGGGAATTAGTCCAACTAATTTTCATAATTGTTGATTAATTAACTGATACACAGGAGTACTTTGAGTTCATGTCTGATATTCTGAGGTTAATTAATCAGAATTCTGTAACTTTTCAGGCTTATGGAAGAGATTTAATGGAGGCCCAGGATTGGTGTCGGAAATATACAAGATCTGGAAATGTCAAGGATTTAACGCAAGCATGGGACCTGTATTACCATGTATTCAGACGAATATCTAAACAGTTGCCACAGGTATTATGCTCACAGCATATTGTTACAAAATGTACTAATAATTATTATACCTTCAAATAGTTACCTTTACCAAAACTAGGCCTACTTACCAAAACTAGGCCTACTTACCAAAACTAGCCCTACTTACCAAAACTAGGCCTACTTACCAAAACTAGGCCTACTTACCAAAACTAGGCCTACTTACCAAAACTAGGCCTACTTACCAAAACTAGGCCTACTTACCAAAACTAGCCCTACTTACCAAAACTAGCCCTACTTACCAAAACTAGCCCTACTTACCAAAACTAGGCCTACTTACCAAAATTAGCCTTACTTTCCAAAACTAGGCCTACTTACCAAAACTAGGCCTACTTACCAAAACTAGGCCTACATGTACTTACCAAAACTAGGCCTACTTACCAAAACTAGGCCTACTTACCAAAACTAGCCCTACTTACCAAAACTAGCCCTACTTACCAAAACTAGCCCTACTCACCAAAACTAGCCCTACTCACCAAAACTAGGCCTACTTACCAAAACTAGGCCTACTTACCAAAACTAGCCTTACTTACCAAAACTAGGCCTACTTACCAAAACTAGGCCTACTTACCAAAACTAGGCCTACTTACCAAAACTAGCCTTACTTACCAAAACTAGGCCTACTTACCAAAACTAGGCCTACTTACCAAAACTAGGCCTACTTACCAAAACTAGCCCTACTTACCAAAACTAGCCCTACTTACCAAAACTAGACCTACTTACCAAAACTAGGCCTACTTACCAAAACTAGCCTTACTTACCAAAACTAGCCTTACTTACCAAAACTAGGCCTACTTACCAAAACTAGGCCTACTTACCAAAACTAGGCCTACTCACCAAAACTAGGCCTACATGTACTTACCCAAACTAGGCCTACTTACCCAAACTAGGCCTACTTACCCAAACTAGGCCTACTTACCAAAACTAGGCCTACTTACCAAAACTAGGCCTACATACCAAAACTAGGCCTACTTACCAAAACTAGGCCTACTTACCAAAACTAGCCCTACTCACCAAAACTAGGCCTACTTACCAAAACTAGGCCTACTTACCAAAACTAGCCCTACTTACCAAAACTAGCCTTACTTACCAAAACTAGGCCTACTTACCAAAACTAGGCCTACTTACCAAAACTAGGCCTACTCACCAAAACTAGGCCTACTCACCAAAACTAGGCCTACATGTACTTACCAAAACTAGGCCTACTTACCCAAACTAGGCCTACTTACCAAAACTAGGCCTACTTACCAAAACTAGGCCTACTTACCAAAACTAGGCCTACATACCAAAACTAGGCCTACTTACCAAAACTAGGCCTACTTACCAAAACTAGGCCTACTTACCAAAACTAGCCCTACTTAAAGTATACTATAAGTACTTAAAATATAAGTACTTTGAGTGTATGCTAAGTATAATTATTCTGAAGGAGAAAAATGAATGTGAACTATAAAAAGTACTGTAAACTAATTATTCACTGGAATTTAATTTCACTTTTATTACAATAGAACTTATCATAATTTCACGGTGGCAATATCTTGACACTTTGATCATTTAATACATTTTTCTTTGATATTTTTGGAGCAAATGGAAATTGGCTACATTACATTTCTTGTTCAAAAGATTCCGAACAAATTTGAAAACATTAATGTGGATTTATTTTGTGGAAGGAGTTGCCTTTGGATTCAAAGTGTTAAAAATAATGGAATGTAATGTGTTTACAGCTGACTCAGCTAGAGTTGCAGTATGTCTCTCCTAAACTGTTGATGTGTCGTGATCTGGAGCTAGCTGTACCTGGTACTTATGATCCAAACCAACCAATTATCAGAATTCATTATGTAAAACCAACTCTTCAAGTGATAACTTCTAAACAGAGACCAAGAAAACTAAGTATATTTGGTGAGTAAAACTAAAAACCTCTGTTGTCTCAATCTGAAAATGGTGAATTTGTATTTGAATTATGAGAATTAAATTATGAAAGATTTCATTGAAGCTTTTTTAAAGTGTATATAGTTTCTATTGGAAAATTTCAAGTGGAAGATCGAGAGATGCTAGAAACTTTATACTTTTTTTTCTTTTAAATTAGAAATTCTGCATTTTCTTATTATGTCACATTGTTTTGTACATGTTATCAATAGAAGGCGCCCTTTAATTTTTTAGTCCTAACTACATGTAAGAGTCATGAGAGTATTTTAACTTCCATATTTTTCTACATTCTAATTAGCTCATTATTATTAACTAAACATGTATATGGTTAATCTGTATGTATAGATGACCTTCCCCACCCTATGCAGTGATCTTCCCACCCATGCAGTGATCTTCTTTCCATCTTCCCATCTTATGCTGTGATCTTCCACCCCTATGCAGTGATCTTCCCACCCTATGCAGTGATCTTCCCACCCTATGCAGTGATCTTCCCACCCTATGCAATGATTTTCCCACCCTATGCAATGATTTTCTTTCCATCTTCCCACCCTATGCAGTGATCTTCCCACCCTATGCAGTGATCTTCCCACCCTATGCAGTGATCTTCCCACCCTATGCAGTGATCTTCCCACCCTATGCAGTGATTTTCTTTCCATCTTCAACCCCTATGCAGTGATCTTCCCACCCTATGCAGTGATCTTCCCACCCTATGCAGTGATCTTCTTTCCATCTTCCACCCCTATGCAGTGATCTTCTTTCCATCTTCCCATCTTATGCTGTGATCTTCCACCCCTATGCAGTGATCTTCCCCACCCTATGCAGTGATCTTCTTTCCCTCTTCCCACCCTATGCTGTGATCTGCCGGCCTTTACATATACAGGGCAAGCCATGTGTAGTTTTACTATGTTTTTGACTCCCATGTGCGAAACACATAATGGGAGTCTTTGCAGTTAGTGTGTCTGTGTGTGTGCGCGTATGTGTGTATGTGTGTCCGACTGTTCCACTGCTATCTCAAGAACCATACATTGGTTTTTGATGAAACTTGGTGCATAGATGCTCTGGGCCAATGCGCAGATTTGATTAGGTTTTGGTAAAAATCCATGCTCGTTAATTACCTAATTTGCATGATAATTAGCTAATTTTTAGCTGTTCTATGACTGTTCCACTGATATCTAAAGAACCACTCATTGGATTTTGATGAAACTTGGTACATAGATGCTCTGAACATATGCGCAGATTTGATTAGTTTTTGGTAAAAATCTGTGCATATTAATTACCTAATTTGCATGATAATTAGCTGATTTTTAGCTGTTCCATGATTGTTCCACTGATATCTAAACAACCACTCATTTGATTTTGATGAAACTTTGTACATACATGCTCTGAACTAATGCTAGG